TCATGGCCCTTGTATATGGGTCAGTTAAACCCGTGGGAATGATTATCACGTTAATTTGCTAAAATGATTGGACTACTGGCTCATAAGCTATACATAGATGCCTTTATACTTCGTCGTTAGATGAAGAAGTTAAAATACTTATCATATACGTACAGTAGTGAATGTACCTATACATATTTATACTTATACGCATACTTGTACTTATATATATGCATATACTTATGCATATGCATATATTTATGCTTATACTTATACTTAAGCTTATGCATATGCTTATACTCATACTTATACTAATGCTCATACATAAACTTACTACGTATTCCTAATACTTGTGCTAAACATCTGAAGAACCCTCGGTACGCGCATATCTCTTATTACCATTGATATTCAGTTAGCATCGAATGTTAACTATAACTATAAACACGACCATTTATCTAACGCTTATAGAAGACATCAGACTCACATAGCACTGCACAGACATATATAGATATAGCAATAGTTTCACTATCATGGGTGTTCCGAGTGAAAGAATGCGCGGCTGGAATGTTAAGCAGAAAACACTGCATGCGGACATGTCAAAACGGTAATTGCTGCTGTAAATCAATCGTGCGGCGTCAATTTCTTATCATCGATAAAATAAAAAAGAACCGCAATTCACATGAATGTATAACTGCAGGCCGGGAAACAGCGCACGTAGGAAAAACATTATAACAGACGGCTGAATAGTAGAACAGCATGACGTCTGAGATGATAAGTATGAAATCGTGATTTATAATAGGTACGTGCCAATATCGGTCGGCCAAAATCTAGTCTGCCCTGTCGTCCCAGCCAACGCGGCCGCACGCCCACACGCGCCTATCTACTCACGTACACATGGCCGCGCACGCTCTCACGAACGCACACTATACGTATCTGGTGTGAATGGATCAATGCGTCGATAGCCTTACTACAATTACGTGCGCACTATGATGCTATTGTGCCTCAAAATCCGATAGTTTTCATAGTTGAGTTCAATTACCTCGCGCCAGGATAATACAACCTAGATGATACTAGTATGCGCATTTATTTTTTCTGAAAGTACAGTTAACCACGCTCCTGCGTGGAACAATCTCGCAATCGCTTTCCATTTCACACGAGACTGAATATATAAGTTATAACGCAAAGCTAAGAGAATGCAACGGGAATCCTCAAAAACTATAGAGGACTTCTATCTATATTCTAATTATAGAAGAAATATAGAGGATACTTCTATCTATATTCTAACTATAGAGGAATATAAAGGATACTTCCCGGGGGGGCACTCACCCCACATTATGGTAGGTATGTGCCACTGCGAAGTCAAAAATGGGGGGCTCTGGAACTAACTCAGACCAGAAAATGGGGGTCTCTGGAACTAATGTTTGTTGAAATGCAATGCTATGGAACGGACGGAGTTCATCATCGGATGTAAATAAACAAGAACAGCAGCAGCAGCTGACCACCCATCCATCCATCCATATGCGCATGCGTTGCATGCAAGCCTTCACGGCCCGGCTTCAACGTATTCTAAAGTACGATAAACTGGAACGGAAATGATGAAAACAAGAGTCTCCGGAACAGTAAAAATGTAAGATCTGCATGGTAACTAAACTAGTGATGCTCTGGAACGAGATATTCTTAAAAATGCGACGCACTGCATGGAACGGAAGCTTAGGGTTGAAAATGGAGGTATCTCCCGCAGCACATACCTGCCATGCAATATATATGGAGTGCCCCTCCCCGGGGGGGATACTTCTATCTATATTCTAACTATAGAGAACGCTTCTATCTATATTCCAACTATAGAGAAACTATAGAGGAGATCCTTATGAATTAACATGCGTTTGGCTGCTCGGGTGAGGCAGAGAGGAGCTAGTCGTGGATACGGGGACGGCGTACATTGTAAGATCTTTGTTACGTGACCGATGCCATAAAACTGATTGATCACAGATACGCCGACGACCCGCAGCGAACACGAATAGCGGCAGCACAAACACTCGGTTGTGTTAGTGTCGGTCGGTCGAACTGTGTCTCGGTGTCATAACCAATGGTTATACCATAGTTTATGTGCACGTGTCTGTGACGGTATGAATCTGTATAGGATTATAATGAGAATTTATCTACTTCCTCAACGTCACGTTGGAATATTTTAGCGGATCTCAAACAGACGCGGACATCAGTGTCGGTCAGTAATAGGCATCAGGTCACCGGGACAAATTTAATATCTAACATTTAAATTCATTTTATGAGCATTGTTATTTCTTGTGCGTGTGTGGCGCGGGGGGCTAATATATTACTCAGTATGAAGACGTGACTCAGTGTGTGCGCTTTATACTAGAAAACGGCTTGTTGAATGTGTCTGATGAATGTGTATTGATGAATGTGTCTGTGGCGAGATTGCCTCATATACGTATTAGTTCGTCTACTAACCGTGTTACGCGCGCTCAAGTTTTATATTATTATATAATACCAATTAAATTGTTATAAACCTGCCATATGGAAGCATATATTTTCCATTCACCTATAAATTACCACGAGCACAGACGGTCACAAACGGAAGAACGGACTGACAGACTGTTCAACAGAATTAAATCGGTTAACTCATTAAAATTAAAGTTAAAATTAAATTAATGAGCACACAATTGATGTAAAGGTATAGAAGCGAATGCATTGCCTACGTGCTTGCAGCATCAACGATTTCACGCACAAGACGAATGTCTGATTAATGAATTACATGTAAGGTCAGACTTGTATGTTAATGAGAATTGTAATTGAAAATACACGTGCTATGCTATTCCCATTAGTATTCATGCATGTCTTTCACGAACGCACTCGCTATTTCAAATTTAATATACACTATATCGTGTTCCGTGATGACATCAACAGCTGCGTTTAATAAGCTTGTCTTTAAATCACACAAACGACGGTCTTACGTAGAGTACAAGCAATGTACACGCTCTAAACTGATAACATTCATGTCTACAATGGCGGAAAACCATGTAATCAAGTAATCGTCAACTATGTTATAACGCAGGCCCGTAGCCAGCTTTATATTGGGGGGGGGGGGTTCGTTTTTCAATGTTGGCAGTATGTAAGGGCGCGAAGCGACCGAGCGAGAAAGCATAGCGACCAAGCGGGGGGAGGGTGTGGTAGGGGTGTGTCCCCCATCCCGCACGATAGAGATTTTGCAATTATTACACTGAAATGGAGCATTCTAGTGCATACCTGAGGTGAAATTCTTGCAAATTTTCAAATGGAAAAAAAAAGTTATTTATTTTTTACTCGGGGGGGGGGGGCTCGGGGGTGGGTTCGTGCGAACCACCCGAACCTCCCCTGGCTACGGGCCTGTAACGTACGTGTTAAAATTGTTTATGTGCTCTTAGTGTAAAGCACGATAAGTGATCTATTTTAAGTAGGTGTATATGCATGAAATCAAGAGCATATTAAGTATGCATACTTAATACGCTCTTGATGAAATATTTCAGTGTCTCACGCACACAGTGTACATATTTTAGCACCAATTGCAGCGATTCCTGTGATTCGCAATGATTATCGACATCTTATGATATTAACACTTATAAACTGTCATATATAGTTATATCAAATAAATGAGTAGCACCTATGCACGAAGTGCATGCAGTCTGCGACATTTGATCAAATATAATCACACAAGACATGTCATTCAGTAGTTACGATGACCATGTTAGTTTAAGATTTCGTAATGTAATTAATTATTAGGCTGTAGTCTATAGGAGCGTGTACTTCCACGCGCGTGTTACAGAATATGCGAATACTGGTGTCGACATTTGAAAACTAAATAAACACGGGTAAACTATATGAATTTCGGGCACCTTCGGCCTCTTTACTGCTGTTGACCCGAACCGGGTTAGGCCATTCCATGTTTTAGTCATAGTTCGGGCTAATTAATCATTATACGAGTAATTTCTTACGATTATTTTTATTAATTTAGAACATATCTAAGGTAACCCGAACGGTCATTTGCAATGGCCAATGGACCTTTCTGAAAAAAGAAATGCGAGCGCCGAAATTCAAAACGCATTTTACAAACGTTAGCTCCGTACAATCACACATGCTGTGAAATACACCGACTGAATGACCGCCTGATCACCGATTGCCGTAAAACTAATCCTGTTTTCTCAGTATAAGTTAATCAATTTTGTATTTAAACCCGAGGAGCATGTCTTGCACCAAATACTTGGCGTTGCACCTATTGAGAGAATTATAGCGATCTATACCCGACAAATTCTCCTAGACTGCATTTTAAACACGTGGGTTCAGACAAGTTGCTGCTAATTATACACGGCCCGCTAGTTTTCTGAGAATCGCTCACGTTTACGTTCTACGCGAAAAACGTTCAATAGCCGAAGAGCATGCTATTTCCGAAGAACCTGCCAATTATATTATTACCATGTAACGGCTAGGGTGGGGTTCCCGCGGAAGGTATGCAGGTATGGCAACGTAATCAAATAAATACGCCATGTAACCGGCTGGGAGAAAAGCAGTGCTTAGTATAGAAATATAGAAAGTTGGCTAGTATTTTGGTTGTCTTTCGTTCTTCACTGTACACGTAGTTGCAAACGGAAAAGACTTGTTATCTGGCGTTTGTTTGATCTGTTGTTTTCTATAAATTAAAAACTCAATTACCACTAGTAGAGAATTCCACACCAACTATTCAGCCAGAACAGCGCCAGATAGTGTACCCCTGTAAACTAATTAAGATTATTAAATTATTATTGTATCAATTATCGTTCTTTAGTTCTTTATTCACACTCCATGGATGAAATAATCATCATATTTGATTTCAAGTTTGTTTTAATACGCGAAGTTGCGTAATTCTTACTCAACAATAGTTTTGACCCCTTTACTCGATCTTCTAATCTTAATCTCTTCGCTTATTTGATAGGTTGGAGCAATACATGCCGATACACGTACAATGTAGAACAGGACCAAGCACGTCGAGCTGAGATTCCTTCACTATAATAAGCACTCATGTACTTTAATACAACAAACTTCATACTAAAAATAAAACGTTGATTAACATCATTTAATTAGTTTGTTTGATTAAAATACTTCATCGTTGTTAGCCGCCAAACGCGGCTTAAAATCCATTTCATCTGTGACAGAAAAATACGTCGTTGTTTTGCGTTTACAAGACGATAGACAGGTTCGAACACCACAAGGACACTTCGTTTTACTATGAAGTCTGAGAGACAGAACGACGTAAGCACACGACACGCCAGCACCGGTCGATCAAGGCAGCACGTGCACTGAGCAAAGTGCACGCTAATGATCATGACATTCACACATCATCATCACATTGATCATTGACAAACATTCACCGTCAAACTGACTTCTCAAAGGTTGAATAACAAAAAAGTATAGACACAAGTCAAGTGACGCAATAGTATAGAATCTGCACCGTCGTTGGTGCCAATTGAAAATATAGAGTAGCAAGCTGAAGAGCCCGATTGATCTGCAACACTGACGGTGACTCTAAAAATCGACTATAATTTTCTTTTGCATATATGCACTCATGACAGTTTTACTTACAGTTTTTACACGGTCCCAAAGTTGTTATACATATTCTTCTCTCCTTTAAGACGCTTATGTTTTACAAATTCGGACCTCTATCAAAATAAGCTAGAAAACACCTCATTTGGAACACAAAGCAAATTGTTATTATCAATACCTAACACAATATGGATGATTTCATACCAAATACGTCAAAAGGAAGAATACTGAGCATGCCATTTGATTCTTAGATATGTATCCACCGGCCATTCAGTAATGTTGGTGGCACTCATCGATGGCAAAACTCTCCACAGGGAACGATTTGCTGATATAGATATATAGGCTAATATAGGCTGATATAGAGGGTAATCTCCGGTGTAAGAAACCAGTGTTGTAAATGTAACATCGGTCAGGTAAATTCCAATTCACGCTCTATTCCAACGTATCTCAACGCATCTGTAGGCCCATACCTGTAAAAATGCAAAATAACACTATGAACTAATAGATAATTTACAGAAATATTACTAAAGTGAACGATAAGACAAGTTTGCGAACTCTATAATTATAAAAACACAGAATATAATGTTCTTTTGTAAATTTTTGTGTGTGACCAAAGGTAGGACGTGAAGGCCATAAAATAAACTAATATGAAACCCAGAAATTACCAATATAATGATACAATTAATCAACACTTGTCAACAGAATAGACATAATTTCCCGCTCTACCAAGTTACGAGTTCCTACGAGTGTACAGCTGCTCTATTCTCTTCCAATACCTATTATTGAATTTTTCTGTTGTCAGTCTCATTTACTAACTGACACATTTTTGCGATGTTGGCAGAGTGGCCGGCGGGCTGACGTTGGCTACTTGATAAAAAATGTGGCTGTAGGCCCCTACTGTTGAATATTTTGATGCAACAACACGGTGACACTCTCCGATAACTAATTGCATTTGCTTTGTAAAAACCAACAAAATTGTCAGGGGCAGATTGAGAAATTTCTGAAGAGAGATCGATCGATCGAGAGAGGGAGAGATAGAGAGAGAGCGAGAGAAAGATCGAGAGAGAAAGATCGAGAGAGAAAGAGAACCTATGTTTAGTATTTGGAGCAGAGAAAGTGAAAGGTAACTGGTTGGACAGTGTTGGAGACAGTAAAGAACTCCGAGGGAACATGTGAAAGTTTTCTAGACTACGCGAACAAAAAACATGGCGTGTGAATTGTTGCTATATCGTAGTCACGCTCAGCTGTACGTGCCAATACAATATGCCCTTGAGTCTCTCAGCAAAAAAAAAGCAAAACGTTACTTTGGCATGTTTGGCATAAAAAAACAATGTAACATTGATCATGAGCCTTTGAATAACAGAAACGAAAACTCACCGAATTCAGTGCTCAATTTAAAATTATTTCAGAGGCGGAGACAATATGATGCTGCAAGAATTGGTTACTGTGTCTACACAATTAATTGCCCATGTTTAGTATTTGGAGCAGAGAAAGTGAGAGGTAACCTGCGTCGAAGATAGTGAAGAACTCGTAGACACAATGTGAAAGTTTTTTAGACTAAGCGAACAAAAAACACGGCTCTATGAATTGTTGCTAAATCGTACGTAGTCACGCTCAGCTGTACGTGCCAATACGCCCGGAGTCTCTCAGCAAAAAAGCAAAACGTTACTTCGCATAAAAAAAACAATGCAACATTGAGCCTTTGAATAACAGAAGTGAAAACTCACGGTATTCAGTGCTCAAATTTAAAATGATTTCAGAGGAGAAGACAATGGGACGCTGCAAGATACGTATACTGTGCCTACACCAAAATTTAATAAATGGCATCTTTATTTTGGAAATTTCCCGGAAGCATGTCTCATCTTTTTGCATGCTTGCAGGTCTACTCTTCAGTTATGCCATTGACCAAGAAATTGCATGATGGTAGCAACTGATAACACTAAATTATACCTTATTATTGTTTAATAGAAATATTTCTTCTGTAAAGGTCCAAAAAAACTTTGAAATTAGGACGTTACCTAGTTCTACAATTCTTCTTGCCTGCGAGAATGTTTTTATTCATCTCATTACGCTGTTAATAGTCATACAAGAGTAACAAACAAAGTTTCATGCTGTCGTGAACCTCATTCCAAGTCTAGGTGTTGTGGGTCAGCATTGTGCATTATATTATCACAGATGTAACGATATGCTGCCAATCAACACCAGCTCAAAAATGTACCAATACACCTTTTAATGGCAACTTGCACAGATATTCGGTTTTAAAATGGACGCATCTTCTTGAATTTGAAGCCGTATCCAATTTTTGGGTATTATTCACATAGCATAACTGTTTATATTTTGAATGAGAAATGCACATTCCAATCACCATTTGCACTGTAGTACACATCGGTTAGCTTGCAATGGCAAGTGCAACCCGACTAATATAATGAAGCAACTTTCTACGGCTGTATTCACTACAATCAACTGTCCCAGCACTGACCATCCTCATGACTGTCTATTTATTTGGGTTTTCCGTGAACTTGAGTTCATAGGGGGGCCTTATTCCAGGCATACCTGAAATGTCTCAGATGATGTTAGCTCTAAAAAATCGTCCACTTTAACGTAAGATTTGGTTTTGAGGATGTTTGAAATTTTGAGGTGTTGATCGTAGTCGATAATACTCGTGGCGTGTAGGCGTGTATGCATATATACACAAGTACTAGTGCGCAGTTAGTGATTACTTACCTATCACCGACCTATTGTTTTACTACACATCTTGCTTCAACACCACTATGCTAACTTATACTTGCCTATAGTCGAAGAACAGCTCCTCTCCGCGATGGATGGCTCGCTTGGCGAATATACCGATGCGATGGTCACCGTTCACCATCATCACCTTCGCCTGACAGTTGGGGTTGATGGAATGGTTGGCAAAGCGAATCTTATTTCCCTTCCGTGTCGCATCGACCACGAAATCTGCAGAACAAACAAATTGCATCAACAATGACTCTGGCCGACCGCAAGCACTAAGCTGGTGCATGCGAAAAACACAAGCACGCAATGGAGCTACAAACTCATTCCGGAAAGAGAAATCGGGAGGCGTGCTTGCATAACTGGACTTATTTGGATGAGGTCCGTCATTTAGGTGCTCTCAGGCATTCTCAATCTAGCATTTACAGGTGCTGTGTACGTTCCTGTACATTACATTGTACGGGAACTTTTACATTACATTCCATTACATTACATGTAAATTCCAGCAGTATATCACACATGCAAAAACCATTGATCCGTGTATGGTCAGGCAAAGCGCTGCCATATACAACACATGCTCTGAACTGACTGTCATACCATTAATAAATTGGCTCGACAATGACTCTGGCTGACCGCAAGCACTAAGTCTGCGCATGCAAAAAAACAAGAACGCAATTGAGCTCCAACTGCATTCCGATTGCGAAGAGGAATTGGCTTAATCGGGAGGCATGCTTGCATAACTGGACTTATTGGGATTTAGTCTGTCATTTATGTGCTCTCTTACAGGTGCTGTGATTACATGTAAATGCCTGCAGCACACCACACATGCAAGAACCATTGATCCGTGTATGGCCACGCAAAGCGCTGCCATATATAACATGCGCTCGGAACTGACCGTCATTCCACTAACAAAATGGGCACGCAGTTGCCAACTTTGTAAATGACCTTGGCATAATCATTTCTTAAGATTGGCGCAAACAATAACGGTACCTGCCACCGGCGTTTGCGAAACCTGCTTCAAAAATCAGATGCTATTTATTCAGTTTATTGTTGCCCCATACCATGAAGTCCAGTTGCATAATGGAGTCATCTTGATACAGATTTCAGTCATTCTATGGTTCTAATAGAACGATTTTCCCAGACAAAATTACAAATAATTCAAAGAACTGAATTTTCAATACAAAATACAAAAATTTGCCAAAAATGTGTACACATCACACATTGTCATGTGTACACATTTTTTGGAAATATTTACATTGAAAATTCAGTTCTTGGAGTTATTTGTAATTTTGTCTGGGGAAATCAGTTCATTAAAATGAATGAAATTAGTATCACGACGACTCCATCATGCAACTGGAGACTCCATGGTTGGACGCCCCGCGACACGCGAGCTCGCTCACCGTTGTTCAGATTGAAGAGGAAGCTGCACATGTACTTGTCGTAGACCTTGCCGCGCCGGTCGGCCTCGTCCTGGGAGATGATCTCGCCGCAGTACTCCGAGATGAACTCGTTCTTCTGCGCCGACCCCTTGAGGAAGATTCCCCAGCCGGCGACGTCAGAGGGCGCCAGCAGTAGATGCTGCAACGAGCCGCAAAACACACGCAGACGTCATTGTCAAGAACGAAATAGCACAGCAATAACCTATACGGTAAATAGCACGGCAATAACCTATATATGGTAAATAGCACAGCAATAACCTATACGGTAAATAGCACGGCAATAACCTATAT